CTGGTCCGCTCGTAACATTTCCCAGATCTGCTCATTATGAGGACACGTAACACATCAACCAACACTTGGACATTGGTCGCTCTCTGTTGTTGGTGAAATTCTATAACGTGGTCCATTAATAATTAAATTAATATTATTACTTTTCTAAAATTCAAATGAAAACAATAAATGTATCTAAATCATCTTGATTACTCTATTTAAAAAAAAAAATTGATCTACGAAAGTGGCTTAAACAAAAAAATAAAATTAGAAAGAAAAAGCAACTACCTGCAATAAGAAAAAAACACAACCAAAAATAATAAAACTATGAATCTATGAAATAAGGAGCAAAAACACTTTTTAAAAAAGATTCTCATACTATTATTGTTATCACACCCGGCTCCGAAGCCATATAATCTATTTGGAGCCACTCCGGGTCCGAATAGCCTTTGTAGCTATATGTACCCGGGTACCTATAGGTGCAGCCATAATTTATTGTCAATTAAATATGGCAATATTTGAGGAGCTCATTTAGAATAGGAGACGAATATATTTTTGTTTGTTGCCTCGCAACAAGGGAGGCTATGCTTATTTTCTAACAAAATGCTTCTGGTATCTAAACATCACTGTCATGTTTGAAAAACAAAGTAAATAAAACTTTATACATTAAAATTGATAAAATAGTTATGATAATTTACTTTTCTGCAACTTAATACCGACATTTCTCACATTTTCTTGATAAGGGTAATGTTTCTTTTTGTTATTCCGTGCTTCTCTGCCGATGGTTATACAAATCAAAATATTCGTATACAACACCAATTTAGAAAGAACAAATCATTATCAACAAAATTTAGAAAGTACAAATCATTATCAAAATAAATCTTAAAATACAACTTATGTCAATGTGTAAAAGGTTATACAAACAACTTATCATTTGAGCTTAATATGTCTCTAAAACTTACATTAAAAATATGATTTCTGAGTTCTGCATTTGACTTAGACTTCACTTAGACTAGACCAAATTTGAAACGTCGCTTAAGTCAAAGTACCTACTCCTAGCTCCTACCTTTAAATAGCCACAATTGCATAATTGTAAGCTTAATATAGTCTCTATCTACAAATTCTAATTTTTATTATTTAAGTTTTATTACATTAAGTCATTAAGTATACTTAATGGTGCACTCCTTTCCAAATAAATTAAATAAAAAGTATTGTAAACTGAAAACTTGAATTTAGACTTTAGGTAAAACTCTGTTACTAAAAAACAGAAACATCAACACTCTAATGCCAGTAGTTCCCTAAAATAGAATTCTTTATCAATCTATAATTCCCTTTTTTTAAAAAAAATATCTCTTCTCTACACTGAAAATGTAGGCATCTGGCAACTTGGTTCATTTTAATTTTTCAATTAGATTTAATTTCTTCTTCTTTATTAATTTATTTTCATTCAAAGTATCATTTTTAAGATAATAATAATAATGGTATTTCTTCAGCAACTGATGAATTAAAGAAAGGGAATTTTTTCCTAAAAACTAAAAAATGGAGACGTTAAGGCTTGCAGATGTATATCAAGTGGGAACCAGTGAGAAAGTCAAGGAGATGGAGACTGAGCTCAACCAAGAACTTATGGAGCTAAGAAATGAGCTTGAAGAAGTTGACTTACCTCCAAAAAATACCAGGTATTTTCTAAAAATTTTCTTTCCAAATAAGACTTCTCTCTTCCATAAGCATATAAATAGAAGAGACAAAGAAATACCACTTATAATATTTGTAGGCTGTGTGTCTGTTTGTTCCCTCCTGGAGTATTGGTTGGTTTTTGGAATCTGTTTAATCAACAGCTGACAATTATATTCAATAGTTTCCATTCAACAAAAGCAAAGAAATTGTTATAAGTCCTTAATATAAAGTTTGTCTTATGTGCATATTTGCAGTATACACATATAAACATTAAGAAATCGAAGTTCTAGGAGCCAGTGCGTAGTTAAGGTCACATAATAATTCATTTGTTATACTCATTTAATCAGTTCTGTCCCAATCCCTGAAAACAAAGAGCACTTCAGACGAGAGAGAAAATGTGTTGTAAGGAGGCTCTTGGAGGTAAACAAAGATTAGAAATATTTCAAAAAGTTGTTCCATTAATTAATTAGATTTATGTAATTTTTTTAATTAAACATTGCTCCTTTAAAAAAATTTTAAAATTTAATTATTTATTATTACCATTGTGGCCGCCTTAAACAAAATTAAAATAAGAAATGCCACATTCTCTTAAGCAACTTGATCTGTTTATTAACTTTTCTTTTATTTGTATCAAACTAAAAATTAGATACATTTATAGCAGAAAACAGTTATATTTAAGTAAATTCCTTCTAGAGATACTTAGCAGATGCATTTAAATGATGGCTCTGACTTAGAAAAATACATGGTCATGACATTGGCCTGTTAAGTGCTTCTCATCTAATATCAATGATTTGGTTAGGTGAGTGAAGCGCAGCCGGTAAGAGTTCAGGCAGATGAGATGAATTGTGAGATGGTGATTGCCACTGAGAAAGAATATACAATCAGTAGTCTCCCTATGTTAGTCCATCAGGTAATTTTATCTCCTACTGTCAACTTTTTACAACAAAGTGTAACCACAATGTGGCTCCTTCTAATGGCTATTCTTATTTTGTTGAAAACATATATCTCTGATAGATAAGGAATGATAAGAATTTTCAAATGTTTAAAAAAAAACTGATTGCCAGATTTTAAAATTTCTATCTATTTGGTCTTTATGAGCTTTGAGCAACAGTATTTAATTTAATTGTTGTTGTATGGCTTCTGAAGGTTGTCTGGCTTACAACACCAGGTTTTTAATATTCTGAGTTATTTTTGTTTGTTTGTATCTCTACCTTTCTTTATGGATGCTTTAAATATCAGACATTTTGACATTCCCAAATTTCTTTAAGAACCCTTAATGCCTTCTTAATTCCTTAATTATTATTTATTTCATGCAGTACTTCAATGAACGCATCCAACATATAATTCACCTCAAACATCAACTTATGCTCAGATGGAAAAGGTTCTGTGAGCACACCAGCACTATTGAAAGCCTATACCCTCTCTACAACCAAAGGCTAACGTGAGTGATCACTGAATAGAACTATTCCAATTTCTAATGAACTTCTTACTTCTTAGATTAAGCATAACTTACTGGCGGACTCATAGCGACAATGAAGGCAATGACATACATTGACTTAACGGCACCAGGGGTGATCTCCCAAAGGGGTGTTTAAGCCTGAAATAGTCTCTACATAAGTATATACATAATGTAATGGGAACATTAATTCTTCTTAATGTAAGCCCAAGTTTAAATCTAAAATGCTTTGCAACTGCAGAATTATAATCCATGCTAAATGTTATATAATTATGACTCTTTAATTTTTCTTGCATCAAACATAGTTTTTTTTTGGACAGATATTTAACAAATACAAGATGTCATGTTATAATATTTTTTTTTAATATTGTTTTCTTTTTCTATTTGTAAATGTATGACATTCCAATGACACTATTAATATATATTCTTTCACATGTGATTTAATTTCTATTGCATTGACATTTTATTTTTTTGTAAATGGTAATGAATAAAGATTGAATAATGTGGAGTTGATTTAAAGACTAAAATTTTTAAGGTCAAAGTTTGAGAACTTTTTCTGTATTTTTTTAAAGGCAACTGCTGAATGAGTACAATGATTGCATACAACGGTCACAAAGACTAGCTACAGCCAGAGAGACTCTAATGTTAGAGAAACCAGAGTCAGGTGTTACGTGTGTGAACATGGAGGACTTGCTCATCTATCTCAGATGGTTGGTCTGTCACCTTCACTCCATCAAAAAGTTCAACCAATTCCTTAAGGTATGTTCAACAGCTAAATTTCACCATTTACATTTATTCATGAAGGGACTTTTATTACCTGATGTACATTTTATGGACTTGTTTCAATGCCTTAGATTTTTTCAAGGACTCTCCTTAAAGTACATTGATAAAGATTTGAAATGAAAAAAACATTAGCTTGCTTCTAAAAAAATGTACTGCGGACCAATGATCCTTCTAATTTTTGGAGAAGCTGTATTTCAAAAAGATGACAAAAAAAGTATTAAATCTATCAAACACTAAATAAATGTTGTACATAATTATTTATTTATCAATTTTTAATGCACACAATTCTCAAATGATAATGCATCTATTAATTGTAAAAAAAAAATTGTATACATTTTAATTGAGAAATAGCTCTTAAAAATATTTATATCTGATCAGAAAGTGTCAGTCACTGTCATGTTGATTGTTGGAGGTAGGGTGGGGAAAAGAAAACAAGAACACCACCTGATTGTTTACCACTTAGAGAGGAGGTTGGGGGCAGAACATTTTTGATAATTCAAAATGCATTTTGGTGCATATTCAATCTTCCATCATTCTGCACTTAACTGGAGAGAAACAGAAGATATTACTTGTGTAAATATATGTGTCCTTGACATGGTTGTGTTTATGCAAATCTTTTAATTTAAGTTAAAATTTGAAATCATTAACTTCAACTGAATTGGTTTTAAAATCATACCTAATTATGGGCTGGTATGTAACTCACCACTAGGCTAACATCATCTATTGTTATGGGTATAATAATTTATCTATTTGTAAAATCAAAGTGAATTCAGAAATTAAAGTGAATAATGTATCATTTTTTTCTTCATTGAATTTGCTGTGCACCCCTATTTTTTTGTGCATGCCAAAATCATGGGTGCAGCATAGTGTGAAGATTGCTGCTCAAGCGAGACAAACTATAGAAAACAGATAAGATGTGTTTCTAAGTGTCACAAAGTATATTGTCCCACAATAGCAGAATCTGCAGCTTTTAGTGATAAAAATAGATTTTAGTTGTTTCATGGACTCATTTACTGTCTGGTGAAGGTCATCTTAGAAATTGTTAAGGAATAAATAATTTGTTTCTCACACCGGTTCTTAATATTTGGAATATTGATTAAGCATTATTTTTTTAGGAATATATTTTCTATGAATCGGCTCTTCTGTCATTTCTATTAATGTTTGCAACATGGAAATAAAAATGTTATAATCATTAGTCAACAGGTCAGTTTCACTCTCCAGTATTAATACTTTGTTCAATTCCAGGTGTTGCAGTGGCTCCCAATTAGTCACAAGCTGGAGATTTCACCTCCTGACACTGATACATTGGAAATGGTGAGTTTATGTATAAAAATTTATTCTATTTTGTTTCCCCTCTTCCATGCAGACCAATGGCTGACTTTGAATTTCTTAATATAATTTATTGTTCCTTGATTTTTCCTCAATTTAGGAGGAGAGGACATGCAATGTGACTAAGATAGCATCTCGGTATCAGGATGAGATTTCTTTGAACTTTCCTTCAATCACGTCACGACCAACATCTGCCAGATCTGGACACAGCATTGTTACCTCCATCCCATCCCCTCCACCAATCAATCCTGCTCTTTTGTTTACAAATCCACTTCCTGAGTCTGCAGTGCTGTATGCTGCAGCAGCAACAGGTGAGTTCATGTTTGTGTAGTTCTGGTGCTACAAACTGGCATAGGTGACTGGGTGGTTTTTGAAGTTCTGACGTGACAAAATATCACAGATGAAGCAAGGGTTCTAAGCACTGAACTGACTGGATGCCACTAAATCATAGAGGATTTGTCTTGTTCTTATCCTAATTGCTGTCACAAGTTTGTCTTGTTCTTGTACTAATTGCTGTCATATGATTGTCTTGTTCTTGTCCTAATTGCTGTCACAAGTTTGTCTTGTTCCCGTCCTAATTGCTGTCACAAATTGTCTTGTTTGTTAATAAAAATCAAAACTCATCCAGTAAAGAATAATAATGTTGCTAGTTTATTTATTAAACAGAAATATATTGCACTATTCCAGTGGGCTTATCTACTTTTGAGATTAAAAAAAAAAAATCAGTTAATAAATATTTCCTTTTGTTTCTTGTTTTAACTGTAAATTACTAACTTTCATGCCAATGGTCGGTGAAGGTGGTGGTCTTGTTTCTGATGAGAACATGCTCGGTTTGCCTCTACATTCAATGGAACTAGATACTTTCAGACCACAACTGGCTTTCCTCATCAATGTCTATGGCATTAACTTTGTAAGTTCTAGACTTAATTTCTTTAGAATCATAGAAGAATGCACTTAGTTAAGCAATTTTTACCACACACCTTTACCCAGTCACTAATTATTTTCATCAATGTTTTTAGTTTAGTATAATGAATTGCTTTACTGCCTCATTAAATGGCTGCTAAAACATATAGTTTGAAATCATATTTGTTCTTCAGTTTCATTTTATTTATCTTTTGTTGATCCATATTTTAAAATGAAGCTACACTTGGCTTCAGCTTGTTGTATTTTCTTTTTCATTCAGTGAATTCTCCTGGCCAATTCTTCACAACTCATCTAATTTTATGTATACCCCTTACAGGATCTTAAACGAGTGCACAACAGTGCAGATGAAATGGAAATGTTTGGCGCTATCAATCAAAGGTTCAAACACATCTTCATCAAGCAGGAACAGCTCAACACTTTCAAAACATATGACAGACATGAGGTAGGAGTGGGAGGTATTTGGTAGTCATGAGAGAAATTTGTTGGGGATGTGAATCAAGAAAATTGCTGATTTGTCTTGTTTTCTTGCTTTAGTTTGGATAGAGTTACAGGATGCAATGATTTTTTTAAAAAAAGTTTTGTTATTTCTAGGTTTGAAAGAAACATGTACAAATTTAAGAACATCTTCTGAAATATTCAAAATAGTTATGTTATTATGTTAGAATTTGTCAATAATAGATTTCATAAATTATCTCAAATATTTCAAATTTAATTTTTGTTATTAGAAAAAAAAGATTCAATTTAACAAATGTGAATGATGCTTTCCAAGTTGTTGTTTATATTGAATAAGTTAAGATATTTATTTATTTTAACTGCAGCCTGGTCAGGACGCTTCTGGACCAGAAAGTAGTAGCACTACTTTTAAGAAGGAGGCCAACTGGTGTAGCTTCACAGCCCTGATCCCAGAGAGGGATCCACAGCAAGAAAAATTGTTGAGACAACTGCTGCATAGGAAACATGTGGATGAACTTCTGAACGTCATGTCCCATTTCTTACATGTTAGGAGTTGTGAGGTAAATGTTGCCTTCAGAAATTCAATATTTCTGTAGAAAGCTCAAAAGCTTAAACAATTAGCTGGAAATTCTTTATCAAATGAAGATAGATTTTTATATAAGTCAGCATTTTCAGGTATGAACTCTTTCTTCTTTAAAGTTTTCATAGAACTTCATCATCACTAGTCTTTTCCCATTCAAAGTTTTAATGATTATAAATCTTTGTATTTTAATAACTTCTTTGTATTTTTATAATGAGTTTTAATGTCCATAAAGAAAAAAAAATGAATCCTAAAAAGTAAAAAAGAGTAATAGGTAAATGGTAACTTTCATTATCATCTAAGAAAAAAAATAATTTTATGTTGATATGGATGATACATATATACAGGCAGATTACTATTATTTATATATTGATATATATAGGCCTATTGATTAGATGTTTCCAAAGAGTTTTCCAGATATTTTAAATTTATTTATAAAAACCTTGGTCTTTATTTGATGCCAGAAAGTTCATGACACCTTGAAGGAGCACGCAGCTCAGGTGAGGAACCCACCAGTTCCAGCATCAACCAGCTGTGACCACAACAGCACAAGTGTTATCTGGAGGAAAATTTACTCAAATCCAGATCTTTACTCAAGGTAATGTTTCATTTAATGGTATCTACCGGTCATCAAAATGAACAAGTTTGAAATTTGCAAAATTCTTAATGTGAATTTTACATTTAAAAAACAACTGACTTCTGATTGATGTCTTTCAACTTGGGGGAAGGCAATCATTTAAAGTTATTCATAAAATAATTGTTGGCATAAGACCTACCCAGAGGTCTTTAATTTCATGCATGCTAAAAAATTTTTAAAATTTTGCAATTCAAAATATTCAATATCATTATAATTAAATAGAGAATTTCTTTTGGTAGATTTTTGAGATCCCTGACAAAAATAGCACCAAAAAGAAATGAAAACTGACAATAGAGTTGATTATTTTTCACTCTATTCAAAAGATTTGTTTGTTTTGCTATGAAATGATAAGTAAAATATTCCCACTTTTGTTTTATTAGACTTTATAAATGTATTAAATGATCCCAGTGGTGACAGTAGTGTGAGCACCTCTCTACCTGATATTGATGAAAGAGATGTTGAAAATGTCAATTTGTCAGCTGGACGTAGCAGAAGTAGCAACAAACGAAGGGACAGCTATGATTACACCAGCACTGTCCAGATGTTAGGTATGTTGTAGTGGACACTAGAATATCAGATCTGACTATACTATCACTGCCCAGATAGCTTAGAATGAAGGTGGCATGCATTTCTTTCTCATGAAAACTTGGTTGGTCTCTTGAACAGGTTTAGATGATGGGGAGCAAGACAAATCTGACCCAGTTACTGCTCAAGGGGCATACCTGTCGTATCTTCACCTGCGACACCTACGCGTGAGGGACCTACAGAGATCAGTTAGTATTATTCATTCCGATCATTCCCACCAGTTTATTTGGTCATGGTGACAATACGATTATGAAGTGCAGAAATTAAATGAAACTTCAATTAATGATAACTAGCTTTACAGTTTAAACACCTTGATATTTTCCTAACAACCCCAAAATCATTGATATTAAAGCCTAATTAGGAAACCTAAATTTATTGTTTAGCTAAATAATAAAAATCTTACCTCCTCAAGTGTCTCTCCATTCTGAACTACTTCCGATCCATTGAGAGAACTCTGACCATCAATGACATGGGCTTGGTCTCTGATGATGGAGGTGACCTCAAACAAAACAGGTCTGGCTTATATTTAGATCTAAGGTCAGGTTTTAATATCTTTGTGACTAGGCTTGCATGGTGTGTACATCCTGTTCTTATGTTAATCTTACTAGGATGATTAACAGTGTTCTAATATTGTGATTGGGATGATATGTTGTTTACATCAGATATAATGTCATTGTGGCTCAGAAATTGTGATAATATCTACCATTACACTATATCCTTTTATAATTTATTCATTAAAGCCAACAGAACCATAGGTCAGGCACTGAGGTCAATGGAGGTCAAGGTGGTAGTGGAGGTCTTGGCTCTCATGCATACTTGCACAATACACCTGTGGATTTCAAGTAAGGCTAATCGTGATGGGAATGATTTGAAGTCAGGCCATTTATTTTCTTAAATATATTTATAAAGACATGAGACTTGCCAATGTATAACTGTATAAGTAGAGCTGAATGAAGTCCATACTTTGACTGCTAGAAACTGCACTAAAAATGTTAACACAAGAGTTTTACAGATGTTAGGTTTGAATACTGCCAGAGCTGCATTTTTTTTAACTGGCGCTATCCTGATAACTATCTGATTGTTTATTTTGATTTTCTTGTCCATATATTTTTAAGGGCCCAATTTATGTAAGTTAACTGATGTCATAAATGATTAAAATAAGCTTAAGTTTGAAATAAAAATAAGTTCTGTGTGAGGAGTGTCAAAGGGAATGAATGTACTTTCAAAATTACTGTTTTTCATGAAGACAATGAAAAGAAAAGTTCTTGTCAACTTTTTATTTCAGGCTGAGTGAGTCTGAGTTCATCCAGTTCTCAGAGATTGAAAATCATGATGACTTCTACTCATTAGAGGAAGGCAGGGTGCATGTCATTGACCAGAGAGGACATTACATCATGTATGACAAGGCTTTAAAGGACTTTGAGTAAGGGAAATGTGAAATAAAGCATAACTCATTTTGAAGAATATTTTTTTTAAATGAAGAGCAAAACTAATCCAAATAATCTGCCAGAATACCCTTTTTGAGTCAACTTCACCCAAGTACTTGACCTCTGACCCCTGTGCCATCATTACACCTGATGCAACCATTCCTGTGGTAGAAGGTCAAGGTTGCTTTTAATGGGCAGATAGAAATAAAAACAAACAGAAGATGGAAGCGAGTCAAACAAAGTTAAACCTGAAAAAAGGAACGCAACAAAACAAACCTTTCGACAGAAAGCCTTCACCAGCGAACCACCCCATGTTACCCTAAATAGCAGTAGATTCTATTACCAAAACTGATGACACCATGATGGTTTTTTTAAAGGAAAAATGTTTAAGAATATTGAAAGGTGATGACACTTTGTGTTATTTGATTTGTGCGCGGAGATTATTTTCAAACATTTTTTAAAAATATCATTATGTGAAGAATCTCTAGGTTCCTATTTTGTAAACAATGTAACAATTTTTGAATACCATCCAATCTTGATATATATATTAGGTAAGTTGGGTAAGCCTCTAATTATATTTTCCTCAGAAACCTAAAAACTGAACTGATGTTGGTGTCCAGCCACTACATTGAGAAAGATCGTGATCTGAGGACAGCTGCCAAGCAGATGGCTTCCAACAGCTCAAAAAACCAGGCAGTAATAGGATTTCAACTTTGAAAGATTTTGTTTCTACTAGAAAATCTTAACAGTGGATTCAGTGTTCATAATAAAGCTATCAGCTGCACAGCCAGTTATATCATTGGGCCTCCATTCCTTGATATAGTGTCTCATTTACCTTTAGATTTTCATGCTCTCATTCTCTGTTGAACAAGCTTAGAGATAAAAAAAAAATAAGTTCATTTCATTTAAAGGATTTTTTTATACAATCCCATTTGAAAGAGTGATAAATTGTTAGTTTTATACAAATAAAAAAATTGTGAATTTTCTTACAAGGGTGGAAAGTGATTGAAGATAAAATTTTTTTCCAGCAGCAAGCGGGAGACTTTGACATCTCCAGCTACAGTCATGAGGACATTGACAGGTTTGGTGTCGTCTTTGATGTATGGACAAATGAAACATCCTTTCAGGAATGTAAGAGAGAGGTGAGTCAATTTAATTACATTATGATTCAAAGTACTTTTTCATATTTTATAGTTATTTCATGAATACCCCGGTGCCAACAAATGCAATCACCAACCAATCCAGTCATCAACTAACCCAGTCACCAATCAACCCATTCATCAACCTTCCCAGTCACCCACCCAGCCCAGTCACCAGCAACTCAATCACCAACAAACCCAGGTACTAACCAGCCCAGGTACCAATTAACCCAGTTATCAACCAAACAATCCACCAATAACTCCAGTCACCACCCAGCCCAGTCACCCCACAACGTGTTCACCAACCACACAGTCACCAACCACAGTCATCAACCACACAGTCACCAACCAACCCAGTCACTAACCAACCCAGACACCAACCACACAGTCACCAACCACACACTCCCCCAACCAACCCAGTCACCAACCACACACTCCCCCAACCAACCCAGTCACCAACCACACACTTCCCCAACTAACCCAGTCACCAACCACACACTCCCCCAACCAACCCAGTCACACACACCCGCCCAACCATCCCGTCACAAACCAACCCAGTCCCCAACCAACCCAGTCACCAACCAACCCAGTCACCAACCAACCCAGTCACCAACCACACAGTCACCAACCAACCCAGTCACCAACAACAAAGTCACCAACTGACCTTGAGACCATTTCAGCTCTTGGACTGCTATTACGAGGCGTACCAACATGTTGTGGACAGGGATGAGAGAAGGAGACTGGCACAGGTCATCACAAACATCATTCATCAGCGACCTCGATATGACCTGGAAGCCGACTACTTTGTCCGCATGTACAGGGCTGAATTGGCCGTGCTGCGTCAACATTCAGCTCTAGTCAAAGCCATACTGGACAAACAGATAGACAGTCAGCGAGAGTATACGCAGCGTGTGACCAGAGAGGGAGACCGAGACTTTGGACTTCCACACCAGATTATACCCAAACAGCCAATAGCAGTCAATCTAAGCAGGTCTGCTTAGAATTAATTGTGGCATCAGATATTTTTTACAAGCCTCTAAGCTTTTAAACAAATTATTTGTTTTTGCTGGGCTTAGAAGAAAAATGTAACTGTTAAATGGATAATGTGACAAATCTTGAAGTAAATCTGAACCTTTTTTCCACACTATTGCCAGAAGGGTTTAATAATTATTTATTTAGACTATTTTTTTAAAGATCTAATTCAGAAAATATGTTCATTACAAGTCAAGTATTATTAAATTCTAATAAAAATATATTCATCTTTTTTTTCTTCAAAAAAGTTATTTAGTTAATTAATAATATTGAGGAATAGTCTGGTAAAATGTTTTTGTCCAAACCAGGCCTGCCCTGAAACATGTCTACATGTTAGAGTTTCATCCCACATTGGTCATTGCGAGTCGTTTACCATCTGCTCTGAAACATGCTTATTGGGTGAGTCCATTTTGTCCATGATGCTTGATATTTCGCGGTCTGAACTTCCATTTCATGTTGGACAGTGCATGAAAATATGTAACGACTCCTTGTCTCATACTTGTTAGCATTTGAGATAATCAGAACTGGTGAAAGGTTTATTCACCTTCAAATAAGTTATTTAATATTAACATATTTATAGATCTCCTGCCATTCGGGTGGCTGGGTGGCCGAGCGGTCTAAACTGTCTCAAACGAAAAAGCTGGTGGTCTGGAGTTCAATCCCCATCAAAGCCATCCCAAGCAACCCGGGTGGATGGGACTCGTTTGCCTTGGACGGCAACCTGTCTAAGAGAAGGCAAACTCTGAATTTTAAACCAGGAGCCAGAATGATCAACAAATTGATCGTGGCACCTCAAATATAAGAAGAAGGAACATAAATGTATTGACTACATAAATAATCTTTGCTAAGTGGTTGTTTCTTTTTTTGCATTCATTTATGTTTTCTAGTATTTATTCATAATGTGACTTTACATGCAGAATTTGATGGATTAATCAAAGAGAATGGAACAAAATTCAAGTGTTAACAATTTTACAACAATTTTTAAACCTTAAAATGCCACCATTTAGGAACTTCTGGAAATTCACAAGCCACAGAACTTATATTCATCTGTGATGATGGAGAAAATATTGCTGCAATTTGCCTTGCAAGAATGGGACAATTTACCTCCTCTTGGAAGTGACTACTCCATGCAAGTACAGAAAGATGTGAGTAAAGACTCTTTTGTTACATTAAAATAAATGTATCCCAATAGGTCACTTTCTTTTCAGTTATATACATTTTTAAAAAAATATTCTCATAAAACGCATCATGCCAGTGACATAAAGTTTTTTGATTATTTACAGTTTATGTCAACTGTTTTTCAGTGATGTTTGTGTTCCATGACTTGGGTATGTTCCGCATGTCTTGTGCTTCATTATATACCATTTGTTTCAGCTGTTTTCACCTGTGTTTGTGGAGGATCCACTGTTCATGTGTGAGGTGGCCCAGTTTTCTGTCAAACAGCACGAGGAGGAGGCAGGGAGAAGATCTCACAAAGAGAAACAAATTGCAATGACGCAATCTATTGGCCGGGTCATGGAGGTCAGAGAAATAAACAGTATTAAAACATCTTTAAACTTGGATCACTTATTCGATTTCGGTACTTTTTTTTCTTCAGATTTTCATTTCCAGCCAATGCAAAAATGTAAGATACAATACAACACCTTATAATGTGCAAGTTATTACTCCAAGATGACCCAGTAATGTAGTAAACTGAAACTGTCATAAGAATATTAGTTGCATTCAGTTATTTGATGGGTTGGCACAGTTAAACATTCTTTCTGTATTGATAATACAGTTGGATACAAATGACCTAGATACACACTTCTGCTAACTGCTGTTTTCTTCTATTTTTTTTATAGATTGTGACTTTACGCCATCGAATGATTGAAGCCTCGTGGGAAAGTGAAATCCTATCCAAGGTCAGTAACTCTAAATTTACTTTACAGTGATAAATGGGTTAGGTATACATTGAATCTAACCTTTTAAATATACATTTCAATTAATACAGAAAGAACAATACTTCTATTCTTAGAGAATGTTAACTGAGAAACAAGTAGTTTTCAATTCAGTTCTTTCTTTATGTCTCAACATCTTCAAAATATTACTTTTTTTTTTTTTTTGCCTTTAATTTTTTTCAAAGTTCTGTTTCAATAATTAAATCTGTGTTTCAATTATTAATCATGTTTTTTCATTGATTAAATATGTGTTTCAATGATTAAATCTGTTTTTTAATTATTAAATCTGTGTTTCAATGATTAAATCTGCGTTTCAATAATTAACTCTACATAAGATTCTGTAATGTAGAGCACTTCATGTCTAACATGCCTGTTACATTTCCTGTCATGGCACAGATTTACAAGAAACAAGCTGCTGACATGGGATTCCCAGACTTTCACATGAACCTCAGATTTGTTCAGTTTGAATTTGCCAATTACAAAGAAAAAGCTGGAAAGCCCCCACCTGTGTTCATCACTGCTGTGCAAGAAGATGAAACGGCTGTAGACAAGTAAGTGTGCTGTAGACAAGTAAGTGTGCTGTAGACAAGTAAGTGTGCAACGTATGAAAACAATAGATTGTTTTCTTGATGATGAACTTTTAAAGAAAGTTTAAAAATATTTTGATTTTTTTTAAAACAATTTTTATGCATATATGAAAAACTAAAATCTCTGTACTGTAGGCAAAATGTTGTTTGATTTTATTTGAAGCCAATTAGAAAATCTTTTCCCACTATTTAAGGATATGATGTCTGCATTTATTTACAGCCAAGTTGTTCTATAATATAATCTATGTTTAGGTACACGCCATCTTGTCTGTCTCTGGCCATCCATGAATTAGATGAAAGTCATGTGGGGAGATTTTCTTTTAGAAGCCGAGAGGGTTTCCTCCAGGTGAGTACCAACTGCTCTGTGACTTTCTAAAGTTTTTTTTAAGGTTTATCTATGAGTTGTTGTTTTTCAGTCACCATCATGACAGTCATAACTTAAGTAGTGGGGTAATCTCTGCAATGTGCTACTGCTATTACTCAAAAAGATAATTTTAAACATTTATTTATGACTTTAAAATGGCTAACTGTTTGCTTACACTGCATGTGTAATGTTAGGTTGGCTGACATACCAAAATGATGAATAAATTCACTAAATATATGTTATTAAGTGACATGAAAATTAGAAATTTTTTTTTTTTCAGGTGTTAAGGCCAGGGGGTATGGAAAGTTTCCAGGTGGTTCTCCAGTCCCAGGTGGTACACAAGAATGCCTTGATAGCTGCAGTGCAACAGGCCAGTGTCTGCAACCCAGTCAAGGTCACAGAATGGAAGAGGTTTTTTGTCACTTTGTCTTTTTCTGGGCTACTTGATATGTGCTGGTCTACAATCCTGTATCATCAGTGTTTTCCAGGCCCTCAAGACCTGAGAGCATCATTCATGTTATCCCTTCTCCTGTGAATTTTTTTTCTGAGTCATCAAATGCCATCTTGTAAACCATTGGCAAAGGAACCCTTGCTTCATTTCGGTCTTAACTTGAAAAATATGAAGCCAATAGGCAGTTCAAAATTCAATTAAATTTTATCATCAAGTGAGCTGATAATACTGACACATTTTTTGAGAAATGACATAGTGTCTGTAGTTGCCCAAACTTAAACGCATTGTAAGCTGTCAAAATCTGTCTTGAAACTACTGAGGACAAACTTAAACACATTGTAAGCTGTCAAAATCTTTCTTGAAACTACTGAGGGCATAGCACAGAAGTCAACTTGGACACTTGGATGCTCCTTTTAACAAAAATTTTTGCCCTTAATGTGAATTAATTTTATTTGGACGAAACAATTTCATTGTTGTACAGCAAATATTTTCTTTGCCTGACTTTAAATCTGTTGTAATTTTGTACAGAACTGTGATTGTTTTGTACAGAACTGTGATTGTTTTGTACAGAACTATGGTTGTTTTGTACAGAACTATGATTGTTTTGTACAGAACTGTGATTGTTTTGTACAGAACTGTGATTGTTTTGTACAGAACTGTGATTGTTTTGTACAGAACTGTGATTGTTTTGTACAGAACTGTGATTGTTTTGTACAGAACTGTGGTTGTTTTGTACAGAACTGTGATTGTTTTGTACAGAACTGTGATTGTTTTGTACAGAACTATGGTTGTTTTGTACAGAACTGTGATTGTTTTGTACAGAACTGTGATTGTTTTGTACAGAACTATGTTTGTTTTGTACAGAACTATGATTGTTTTGTACAGAACTGTGATTGTTTTGTACAGAACTGTGATTGTTTTGTACAGAACTGTGATTGTTTTGTACAGAACTGTGATTGTTTTGTACAGAACTATGGTTGTTTTGTACAGAACTGTGATTGTTTTGTACAGAACTATGGTTGTTTTGTACAGAACTGTGATTGTTTTGTACAGAACTATGGTTGTTTTGTACAGAACTGTGATTGTTTTGTACAGAACTGTGGTTGTTTTGTACAGAACTGTGATTGTTTTGTACAGAACTATGTTTGTTTGTACAGAACTGTGGTTTTTTTGTACAGAACTGTGATTGTTTTGTACAGAACTGTGATTGTTTTGTACAGAACTGTGATTGTTTTGTACAGAACTGTGATTGTTTTGTACAGAACTGTGATTGTTTTGTACAGAACTATGGTTGTTTTGTACAGAACTGTGATTGTTTTGTACAGAACTGTGGTTGTTTTGTACAGAACTGTGATTGTTTTGTACAGAACTATGGTTGTTTGTACAGAACTATGATTGTTTTGTACAGAACTGTGATTGTTTTGTACAGAACTATGGTTGTTTTGTACAGAACTGTGATTGTTTTGTACAGAACTGTGTTTTTTTGTACAGAACTGTGATTGTTTTGTACAGAACTATGGTTGTTTTGTACAGAACTGTGGTTGTTTTGTACAGAACTATGGTTGTTTTGTACAGAACTGTGATTGTTTTGTACAGAACTGTGATTGTTTTGTACAGAACTATGGTTGTTTTGTACAGAACTGTGATTGTTTTGTACAGAACTATGGTTGTTTTGTACAGAACTGTGATTGTTTTGTACAGAACTATGGTTGTTTTGTACAGAATTGTGATTGTTTTGTACAGAACTATGGTTGTTTTGTACAGAACTGTGATTGTTTTGTACAGAACTATGGTCGTTTTGTACAGAACTGTGATTGTTTTGTACAGAACTATGGTTGTTTTGTACAGAACTGTGATTGTTTTGTACAGAACTATGGTTGTTTTGTACATAACTGTGATTGTTTTGTACAGAACTATGGTTGTTTTGTACAGAACTGTGATTGTTTTGTACAGAACTATGGTTGTTTTGTACAGAACTGTGATTGTTTTGTACAGAACTATGGTTGTTTTGTACAGAATTGTGATTGTTTTGTACAGAACTATGGTTGTTTTGTACAGAACTGTGATTGTTTTGTACAGAACTATGGTCGTTTTGTACAGAACTGTGATTGTTTTGTACAGAACTATGGTTGTTTTGTACAGAACTGTGATTGTTTTGTACAGAACTATGGTTGTTTTGTACATAACTGTGATTGTTTTGTACAGAACTATGGTTGTTTTGTACAGAACTGTGATTGTTTTGTACAGAACTATGGTTGTTTTGTACAGAACTGTGATTGTTTTGTACAGAACTATGGTTGTTTTGTACAGAACTGTGGTCATTTTTCACAGAACTGTTTGCTAGCAGTAACTTTAAAAAAATTATGTTATTTAATTTTTCCCTTATTCCTTGCAAACTATTTTTAAAAAGTTTATTCTCAGCAGTGGTCGTGCCAGCCCAACAGAGACAAAAAGTGAAAAGAGCACCATGACACAGCTGACCAGTGCGTCCAGTGGAACCAGTGGTCCAGTTATTGCTGGCAACATCCCTGTAGACAGTAACAAGGCCAAGAAGGCAGCAGAAGCTTTTTTCTCCTTACAGTTGGAGAAAGCAAGTCACTATTTGTTTTAAATAAATTATAAATATATTTTTCGCTTTTCTTTAAAAAGAAATATTAAAATAGGAAAAAGGTAAAAAAATTATTTAAAATGACAGTGGCAGGTTATTTGGAGATTAGATGTCACAAAGCCTGTGAAGTTATAATAGTAAAATAATAAACAGTAATAATAAAAATAAGAACTGGATTCATCAATTACTATTTAAATTGTGACAGATATTTGTCCTGGTAAAATGGTTGGATAACATGAAAACTCTAATGAAGAAAATGTTACAATCCTGCAAACATGTTTTATCTTTGCTCATAGAATCAATGCATAGATCACATAGTAGGCCCACCTAAAATTGTGAACATGCTCAGAGGACAATCTCTGACATCATTATTAGCCTCATGGCAATCTTATAATCTTTCTCATCTTTCTGGCAGATTCATTTATAAAATAGTGAAAACCTGGCACTTGGAAAGCAGGTGTTTGATTACCTTTTGGGGCGGTAGGTGAAGATATGGTTCTGGTTCATGCATTGCCCTTATAAGTCCCTTGAAGTCATTTGTCTATCATCTTCCCCCATCAGACACCAAGTCGAGATCTGATGCTCAATGAATTTGTCCTGAGAAAGCAACAATCTGGCAGCGTACTTCGTAACTCTGAGGAGCTGGAGAAACTCAAGAGAAAGTTAATCTCAGAGTTTTGTATCAAGTTCCAGAGTAGAGTCTCCCAGGCCTCCATGAGAGGTCAGCTCCTGGCCTACTACAGCAGTATCCTCAATCTGCTGGACAACTTTCCAAGCATCAGGCATGATGTTAAGTTACTTTATTGTGAATCATGTTTTAATGACAGTTGGCAAGCGGATCATTTGATAGCTTATCTATGATGTTAATTCAAATGTTTGTTTTTTTTCCACATAATATTTTGTCCTTACTGGAGAAATATGGTTTGTTAATTTGAACATTGAAATTTTTGCCTGATAGTTTTATACCATTTCAGGGAAACTTATTTTGTTTTGGGAGATGCCAATGAGAAAAAATCATCTGGAGATGATCTGGAAGGGCTCTCACCTGACCCCAGGTCAGTTTTCTAGTTTTCTGTACATTATTTTAATTTTTTACTAGTTAAGTAAAGCCCAAACTGCCTTTGTGGTGAAGAACTTGTTATTAAGCTGTTAATAACTAACATTAGAGTTTATAGTCTTTAATAATCTACTGAAAATCAAATCACTGCAAAAACATGGCTTCCTTTTATTCTTATAGTAGCCACTGTAATTATGTCCTTGCTGTGAAATGTCTGTCTCTTAACAGCTGATAATAATAAGCCAGTCCAACTAACACCCCCAATAATGGGACAAATTTTATAAACCTAAACACTCCATTATTGACTTGACCATTCTGGTCCCCAAAACTGGGGGTTAAAAGTAGCCAACAGGATCCATGTCAATTTATAAGTTATAAAATATATTTTGGTATTAAGAAATAGCATTAAAAAAAAAATTACATCCACTATTGTATGTTTGTATGGAATGGAACACTTTAAAAACAAATATAGTTTTAACAGACTTGCTTCAAACTTCTTTTAATTCATAGTGTTATTTTACAAAATTTGTTCTCAACACATAGCTGGGATGGAAGTTTAAAAAAAAATTGTTTTGTTTTATACAGAGAATTGAAAAAAAGACCCCGAAGACTGTTGTCAAAGGATGGCAAACATGTTTTGAACATCTGGTTCATCCCCCACCACACAGAAGTTCTTGTGATGTTCAAGACACTGGATGATGAGACCTGTTCCAGGGCCATGTCTGCCTCACTGTGTATTGTTGCAGCTCTCCATGACATGCTGCAGTACCTCAGCGCCCATGCTCGCCTGGGGACATCCCATGCCAGAATGGGATCAGAGAAGATGGAGTTTGTGTCAGCTGACTGGGGTGGCACTGAGGGCATAGGTTTGTATTTGTTTTGTTTTTTTTTAATGTTAAGAGGGCATATATTTTTATTTTTTTTTAATGAATAATTTTGCACTAAAGCCATTATCCTGTGAACTTGTAGGATCTGAACTCCGAGACATTCAGAAACAGATCAATCATCTTCCTGACCCAACCAATCCTGATGATGTGCTAGAACTTCTGCAACTGAAACGTGATGTCATGTTCCTGGAGTTTGACACAGCTGTCAGAAACTCAATGACAGACACCTTTCTGTCTACTGACAACATCCAAGCTTATGAGGTACATTAGTCAATGGACTTCATCAACAATGACGTGGATGAGTTATATTTACGTTAATTGACACTTTCACTAGTGAGATTTGAGAGACACATATTTAGAGTATAAAACCCAGTCCACTGCGTTGTCTCTATATGCTTTGTGTTGTGCATCTCTTGACATAAGCATTGCTAACTTGATGCATTCATGATCATACAGAGCATTGTCCACAATGCCTATCCAGCTCTCTCTGCCATCAGCAATGTCCAGAGGCCAAGCTTGTCTTGTACGTACCTAACCATCCCAGAACCTCTTGAGGCTAGGGACTTTACAGCCAGACAAATTCTGCCCTGGAGATCTTTCATTAACCGGTACAGCTGAATGATGCAATCTTGATATCATTAGTAAACGTGATAAATTCAAAAATATTGTTTTACCAAATTTTACCAGTTGTTTACCAATTATTATAAAATACTTCCTTCTTCTTTTTGTAAAATACCTATTATAGATAACAGAGACAACACTGTATACTCCTGCATTCATTTTCCAAATGGTCAAAAAGTCTGGGTTGACTTTGGTTTATATTGTAAAATCTTTCCTCAGCTATGGGCCTTTCCCAGTTGGATTTTGGCAGTGGTTTCGCATTGAATACTTCATAACTCTGTGTTTGTCTGGACTCAATGAGGTGGACAGGTATAGATCACATCACCTTATATAGAAATTAGTTTAAAGCATAAGGTTTGGTGACAACATGAGTCCCATGTATTGTAAAGTAATTCATACACAACCCCCATGGACAATTAAGTATTTAATTATGAGATTTTGATATCAAGAAATTAATATATTTATTTTAATTTTCGAGTAGCAGTTAGGGTCAATCCATAAATGATGTCATATGTAGGAAATGTGTGTGTGTGTGGGGGGGGTGTCAAATTTTTGTGATGATGTGTTATAAGTGGGGGTGGGGGGTTTAAGCAATGTGACGTCACATTAAAAGAGAAACATTCTTGAGAAGATTGCACTTACTAACACTAAATTACTTACAAGATTGCACTTATTAACACTAAATTACATACAAGATTGCACTTACTAACACTAAATTACATACAAGATTGCACTTAATATACACGAAATTACATACATTTTTAACATTATTCTCTTATACAAAATGTTTAATTATTTATTTTTAAATTATGATCCCTGAAAGAATCAGTACAGGTATGTGAGGTCAGAGAAATGGCCTCATTTAAGTTACAGGCCACCACAGAGGAGGAGAACTGTGGTGTAGTGACTTTGACTGTAGTGAGAATTTGTGTCTTAATACGGAGACAGGAGTTATAGAATTAGGGCTACCAAGTTGAGTGAGATGGAATGAAAAATGGTTGACCGGGGGAGGGAGGGCTGAGCTTAATAAATGTTTTAGGGCAGAGATTCTTAATCTTTTTTGCAGCGCTGCATCGCCTCTTGATTTCAAAACATTTCCCGCAATCCCTCCACCCTCGAATAAATTATATAGTATTAAAATTTAAAAAATGGAGCAAAAAAACTTTAATGCTGCTAATCAAAATGTATAAAAACTTATCTTATTTCTAAAGGCAGGAACAGCTATCAATGGCAGAAAAGGCAATTTATTTTCTGGGAAGTGATTTTCTAAGGGTATATAAAGGACAGTATTGGAAGGAAGGATTTTTATAGGGTGGGGTGGGGGTGTGGGGTGGATGCAGAGGTTTGTGACATTATAGTTGGGTGGGTCTAACTTTTTGTGACATTATAGTTGGGTGGGTCTAACTTTTTGTGACAATTTTCCATGATGATGGGGAAGGGGGGGATCATAAATCTGAAAAATTACCTTGACTCCATTTATGGATTGCACCTTTCCAATATTGATAGAAAACATTTTGTTTTTCATCAAACTATTATGCTAATTAAATTATCTGAAGGCATGTGGCAAATGGTGAGATCCTTGGAGTGTCCTTGCTGATGGAAGATGTCCTTGAGACAGGCTACAATGGCAATTTTAACTTGGACGGTGATTCTAAAGGTCACAGTGTGGCTGATTCAAGAGCTGAAGTTGCTGACTCTTCAAGACGTCGAAGTGTCATCTTAGATTTGAAAGATGCCAGCAAAGCCTTGAGTGGGTATCTTAGTTTTTTTTTACTGGCATTCTTTGCCATTTGAAATATTTAGATGTATCTTAATTCACTATGCCGCTTATGCAGTGCAATCTAAACTTTGGAAGAATTATAAGCTATAAGATAAATTGCACAGTAATAAACAATTTTGAAAACTGCTAAATAAAGTAATTATTTTAAAAAAACAGAAATTAATCCCAGTGATATTTTTGTAAATGTGGAAACCAAAGTTAATATGTCTGAAATTCAGAGTTTACTTTAAGCCCCTTGATATGGCTGGGCTGATAGATGGGCTCAGAGTGTTATGTTGAAAAAAGATGAAAGGCTATTCAATCGGCCAAATAACAAAAACTTCGAGATTGGCTGGCTGGTCTTCATACCAGCTAATCAGATTGCTTATCACATTTCTGGCTCAACTCGAAATTTTAATGGGACTTCCATTGATATTTTATGGTGTCCTGTCATTTTTTATCAGTTTTTTCAAAATACCTAGTGACCCCTATAAATGCTTTAAAAATATGTGACCTTGAAATATGCCAAAAGACATAATAGCCCCATGGGAATATTTTATTCCACTTTCCACATTGAATCTCATTCATATATGGGTAAGGACTTATTTAGGCTTCAACAATTATAAAATTTAGCAAAATTCTGCAAGTAAGACAATTTATTTCTAAGTGGAAAAAAAAATTGCATGCATAAATTATGTAAATCAGGCTATCTCATTTGAAAATTTGTTGAGATTTCAGTTAGAATCATAAAGATTGTATTAGTTTATTCAGTTCCCTACAAGAATATAAAGAGTTTGATATTTGAAAAGTAATTGTTTTTTTAATAAATTATTTTGCAAAGTAACTGCAGGGCTTGTTAAAAGGGCTCTGCCTCAAGAGGGTTAATATAAGACAAAGAACATTTTATGAAATTCGATATCGTAGCTTCACCAGTACAATATGGTCATAGTGTCTTCAAGATTGTTGTTAAATTTGTTTTAATTCATAATATCCAAGTCTCATGATGAGTATTAATAGCGATGTTCTTTAACTTTATGCACAGTTGTCACCCCCAAGAAGCAGAGTCTTTCGAGAACTCTTCAACCCCTGGAGTCCTATCGTCTGCTTCACTTCTTTCTTTTGTTGTGGAAATGTCTGGAAGTGTTGAAGTGGGACTGGGCCAGGAGGAAATTGATGATCAAAAATATTGATAGTGCTGACAAGTACAAGGAATACTGGTGGGCTTTATTTTCTTTTTCCCTCCTTGTAATAATGAGAAAAACATAATAATAATAAATGAATAATAAAAATAAATTGTTATCTAAAAATATTTTATTATGCTTCATTTTTCAAATTCCCAAAGACCCTTAAGATTTAAATGTGATATATTTTGAGAATACATGCTGTGCTGTGATGATGATTATGCATACTTCATGCATACGTAATGCATACTTAATGCATACTTAATGCATACTTAATGCATACTTAATGTATACTTAATGCATACTTAATACATACTTAAGTAGTAATCAGAATCACACCGTTACTTTTTTTACAAGAACATTTAATATTTTAACTGTGTGTAGAAAGACATTTAAAAATAATATTATTTTAATATTTAAAGTTGAATTTTAATTTTCAGCAAACATTATCGAACAGAAATTCTGCTGCCAGTCCTACAAAGTGTTGCCAGGAGGTTGGGTCAGAGTGACCTCTATGATAATCTCATCCTGGACACAGACATTTATGTCATGCCAAAAGGGGCTTCAGAAATCGAAGTCAGGCTTAAGCAGGTCAGTGATGAACAGGACTTTTCTTAATTGTTTTTTTTTTTAAAAACTAAAAAACTAGACCCTGGCTTTAAGACATCAAATTATTTCATCCGCTAGAGATCGGGCTTGTCAAATAAATTTTTATCCAAGGGTCATTTAATTTTACAGCTTTACAGACTGTTGGAAAATTTTGAGTGTCACATGATTGGGGAAGTGCGTAAAAGAGTGGCCAAGGAAATCACTTTAGCACTGTCTGAGAGAGCAAGAGAAGAGGAGGCTTTGCCTACAGATCTGTGGAAGAGAGCTGTAAGTTGGATGTAATCTGTTTGGCGGTGGTAAATGGTAAAGTAATGAAATAGCTTTTTAGGGGTGAATTAAAAACGGTTGTTATATACCATTTATTGGAAATTTGTTTCTGTTAAAAATAGTCACACGCAAAAAAAAAATCTCTTTTACAAATATTTTCTGCTCCTTGAGTTATGAGTTAATAAAAAAAAACCTTCTAAAAAATTTAAATCAGTTTAAGACAGCTTATAATATTTCATTATCCATTGATTTTTACAATTCCTTGTGTTGATTATTTTAAAATATTTTAAGTTATGTTTTAATTCCAGGGGCAGAAATTAAATTTGATTATTTATGTGTACCAGTAGCAGTGTGTCTTCATATTATCATTGCCACATATATATAGCATTTAGTGTCTTATGTTTTTTACCCCCAAGTATGTTGAAGCTTGAATTAAAAAAACGGGCAGTAAGATGTGAATGTTTTGGCTTAGAGCCTTCTTCAGCAAATAGGACAAATGAAAACAAAAGAGATCTCTAAAGTTTTTTTACTGTAATTTGTTTCTTGTTGTATTTTTATTTGTCCTGTTTGCTGAAGAAGACTCTGAGCCAAAACGCTCACATCTTATTGTCCTGTTTTTGATTCAAGCTTCCACATACCTTGTTCTACTATTTCAATTTCATTATGTTTTTTACCACCATGTTTTTTAGTGTCTAATGCCTTTTACCACCTTATGTCTATGGATTTGCTGTATTTCTCACTGCGGTAAAACTTACCTTTCAAAGTTTAAGTTTTACTGCTGTATCAATGTTACGCTAACTTAAACTTTTCAATGACATTTCCTCATTCAGGTGATGAGTGAGAGTTTTACAATGAATCGCCCACACATTGCTGAAAAATTTGTCAACATGTTGATGGCCGAGGCTCAGGAGACAGAGAAAACTGTAACTTTTGATTCCAAACATTTACAGGCCTGCCTGTCAGAACTGGCCAGAAATGTCATGACCAGGGAGAAACATAATTTTGAAAGGTAACTAGTCAGATCTGGTTTAATTTGTAAAAATTATATGAATTTTGATTTTTTGTTTCATAGCAATTTCCATATAGTGGCTGTGTTATGTGTTTTTTTGTTTTCAATAAATAAGATTAAAATGAAACATTGCTTGCTTTGGAAGGATGGGTTTCAGGAGGGTGGTCCAGCCCACGTGGCACATTTTTGGTAGGCTTCATTTTTGGTCCCCATCTAAAAATTAGATATGCCTTAAATATATGAGTGTTCTGTATGTTTTATGGTTTTTTTAAATGATGGGCAGTAAAAGTCAAGGTACTTTATAAAATATTGGAAAGTGACAGTACAAATATCAACCAATCAAATACTTCTCTTAATTCAGTCCGTAGTCCCACTCAAACTTCTGGAAGACTCTCATTGGCAATCATCAAATCACAATTTTACACTGGTAACCAAAATCATTCTTGAAACTTGTCATACTGTTGTAACAAATCGCCCACTTCAATTTCCTAACTCATATTGATTTCAATTTCAAGGAGTTGCCAACAAAGAGATTAACATACAAATATGTCTCTAAACGGAATTTAAAAATTATGATCCCTTCATTTAGTGATTTTTATTTGTCTGCAGCTACTCCATGTATTATGAGAATCTCCTGAGAGTTCAACATCAGCTCATGTTTCAAAAAGAGAGGGTAGGAACTTTTTTTATTTTATATCGTAAAGTAAGCTGTTAACAATCCTTTAACATTTTAAATCATTATCAAGAATTAACTTAGTTCCTTTAACAATAATTTGGGTAAATGTTGAGAAAGGATGCTATGATTGGCCGCCATCTTGGTTGAGAAGACCAGTTAATTCTGTCACTAAATCTAAGTAAATGTATCCCTAAACCTAACCTGAACCCAAAAATGTATCCCTTAACCTCACCTGAACCCAAAAATGTATCCCTAAACCTAACCTGAACCCAAAAATGTATCCCTTAACCTCACCTGAACCCAAAAATGTATCCCTTAACCTAACCTGAACCCAAAAATGTATCCCTTAACCTAACCTGAACCCAAAAATGTATCCCTAAACCTAACCTGAACCCAAAAATGTATCCCTTAACCTAACCTGAACCCAAAAATGTATCCCTAAACCTAACCTGAACCCAAAAATGTATCCCTAAACCTAACCTGAACCCAAAAATGTATCCCTTAACCTAACCTGAACCCAAAAATGTATCCCTAAACCTAACCTGAACCCAAAAATGTATCCCTTAACCTAACCTGAACCCAAAAATGTATCCCTAAACCTAACCTGAACCCAAAAATGTATCCCTAAACCTAACCTGAACCCAAAAATGTATCCCTAAACCTAACCTGAACCCAAAAATGTATCCCTAAACCTAACCTGAACCCAAAAATGTATCCCTAAACCTAACCTGAACCCAAAAATGTATCCCTAAACCTAACCTGAACCCAAAAATGTATCCCTAAACCTAACCTAACCCAAAAATGTATCCCTAAACCTAACCTGAACCCAAAAATGTATCCCTAAACCTAACCTGAACCCAAAAATGTATCCCTAAACCTAACCTAACCCAAAAATGTATCCCTAAACCTAACCTGAACCCAAAAATGTATCCCTAAACCTAACCTGAACCCAAAAATGTATCCCTAAACCTAACCTAACCCAAAAATGTATCCCTAAACCTAACCTGAACCCTAAAATGTATACCTAAACCTAACCTGAACCCTAAAATGTATACCTAAACCTAACCTGAAACCTAATTCACGGCAACTTTAATAAACACCGGAAAGATGTTATGGCATCCACAACTAGCATTAGCCATAATTTTTTTTTTTTTTTAAATTCTTCAAAAGCACAGTCCATATTCATATTTTATGCCTTCTGTCTTGTAAATAAGGCTCGTTAGTGTCATAGTGTAAATATTCTACCATGCCAGATAATGTTGCCGTCCAATATGTTTTATTATTGTCCACATATTTTTATTGTCACTTAATTTTTGTGATGAGTATCAATCAACATATCATCCAATTAAAATATTTTAATATTTCATCAGTGGAGAATTGACACTTTTAACCACTTCCATAATATAATATTTTAAACTAAAAACATACAGCAATGAAACTGTTATTAGTCTTGATAAAACACCTTAAAATCTGCAGCATAGGTAGTGTACCAAACATTTATTGCCATGGACCGAACATAAAATTTCCAACTGACCATAAATGAAAAAAAAGTATTTCTTTTATTTTCTTTGTTACAATCTAGGAGATCAGATATCTAAAAGATCAGCTGAAACAAGCTCAGAGTGACACCCGTGTGGCTGTACAATGTCAGCTCGCTGATGAAGCTCACGATCTCTTGATGGGTCAGTCATTTGGACGTCAGTGTATTTTGTTCAACATTGAGCAATTTTTTTTTTTTTATCTCGCCCACCTTTGCCGCTGGCTTTTACAAAAATTGTGATTTAATATCTGAAACAGAAGTTCTAAAATACATTTTTTATGTGCCCCCTCACCAGGTTTTCTCACACTTCTAAGTTTGTCAGACCTGTGGACAGGTTCCCCATTGCACCAGGCACAGGTTCACTAATCATTGTTCTATTTATTTGACCTCAAATATTTCATAGAATATTTTTTATTCCGTTATCAGCCACAGGGCCTTGCTGAGAAAAAGTAGTGCCCGGGGCAGAGCCTGAACATTGCACCCACATTTATATAGAAAATATAGAAATAAGTGCTGCCTGGGCAGACAAAAAAAAATGATTTTGACACCCCTTGTCTTTGTGGAGTGCATGTGATTTAACATTCAATTAAATATTATGGCCCCAAATAAATATGAAATGCAATATTTTGGCGTCCCCTGATTTTAATGCACAGGTTAGTGCCCCCTTTTCCCTACCCTTTACATGGCCCTTATCAGCGAATTCGACAGGTGGTGCAGATGGGTCACATGAAAATAAGCGATACAAACTTGCAAGATTTTTTTGGGACATCTAAGGAGCTGAAAAGCTTGGTACGCTAATACTTCCCCTTTCGGTCACAAAGATTCCGTCAACTTGTCCAACTGTTGTTTGTGTTATCTGGCATCCCGTTTTCCATAGCAATATCACTTGGGGTTGCCAATTTAGGCATGATCTTGTTGCATCAAAAAATGTTTGTTTAATTGTTTTGTGTGTTTATTAACTGTTAGGTTTCACATTTCATAAAATTTTAATCTGCAACATAGCTTTAGCTTCCCAGGCTCCTCTTGATGCATATAACGTGGGGTATTTTTATACACAAGCTAATCTCGTTTTGAAAATAGACTAAAACATACAATTTTTCCCCAAGTTTTATTTACTAATTTTGTGCAGACCGGCGCCAGTCCGCAGACCACCATTTGGGGAACGCTGCCCTCCACTATCAATAAATATGTTGTCTGTTCTTTAATATCAACGCATTCTTCATCTGCCCTAAGTTATCACCAAATAGGTTAGATTTTTTCTACACTAACAGCTATCTACCCTACCACACTAATGTTACATTGATTTATTAAAATAACACAACATGGATCTCAAAGATGCCAAAGTTAGTCATCTTTCAAAACTTGGTTTTGACCAACCTTTAAGAAGAGACAATTCTCAACATTCTAGAATTGCCATCATACACAGCATAAGAGTTGCATTAAAAAATGTATTGACTGCAATTGGATATCATGGATTTGCTACACACTGATAATAATGCACACTGGACACACATCTGTGACATGACTCTTCACTAACTGCAGTGCTCCAATGAAAGAAACAATATGATTTTTTTTTGTTCTTTGATCAAACTTACTACTACATCATGAACACCTTATATTTGTTAAACCAGCAGGTCTTACATTATGTGAAGTAGGAGCCACTATTTTTTATTATTTTTAAAAAAATAATTCAATTTAATTCTTATTAAACATTGACTTTCCGTCTCCAGAAGTGGTAGCACTGCGCTGCAAGATTGCAGAAATGCGGGAAGTCAGCCTGACCCAAGAACGGGATCTGAGGGAGAGAGTAAGAGAAGAGTACCAGGACCTGATACACAACATCTTCAACTCGACATTTCATCTCCGTAACAAGTTTGACCTGTTCAGGTACACTCTGCTTTAATGCATCTTATGTTACACTTTGGTAGATAGAATTTTAATTTATATTCTTGTTAGATTTTGGGACCTTATGTTACATTCTGTTACTTACACTAATTGGCATATTGAGGTGCATTCACAAAATATGTCTTTTTAATTGAAAAGTCTTTAGAGACAAGTAATAGCATTTTTGTTTGTTTGTTTGTTTAAGCAGACATTGTTGATCAGAAGGAATGACTTGGCAAATCTTTTAAAGCTGTCTAGTGCAGTCTCATATGAAAACTGAAACATTCTACAATGACTGTTGCCTAGAACATTTGTACTGACATTAGTACTAACATTTGCACTGATGTTAGTACTAACATTTGTACTGACATTAGTACTACCATTTGTACTGACATTAGTACTACCATTTGTACTGACATTAGTACTAACATTTGTACTGACATATTAATAATAACATTTGTACAGACATTAGTATAACATTTGTACAGACATTAGTATAACATTTGTACTGACATTAGTACCAACATTTGTACTGACATTAGTACCAACATTTGTACTGACATATTAATACCAACATTTGTGCTCACATATTTTCAGAAATCACTTGCATGACGATGTCCTGGTCAAAATCGATGAGACCAGAAAGGAAGCCTTTGAGGCCATGAGCAGGTTACAGCAGAAGTTCAAGGGCAGTGCAGGTGATTAGGTTATCTTAATGTGACAGCGTTTACATCATTGATTATCCACATCTGATTCTCATCATCAGCTCATCTCTTTTTTTTTTTTCGGTTTTCTTTTTCGTTTTGATTGAAATTTAACATTCCTTAGCTGAGTAGCTCCTCCTACCAGACAGTACATGAAAACCCGGCCTACCTCAACTCAGATCAGTTGTAGCAATATTGATCCTCAACTCAGATCAGTTGTAGCAATATTGATTTGAAATGTTACATGGCGAAATAGAGCTGGAGTGTTTATCACATTGGTTCTACAGTGAGACTTTGTTGATTTTGGAATCTTGATAATTAATTGATGCAATGGATGTTCTTCTGATTGACCAGATGAGAACGAGCTGAGAAACCATTTGGATGAAGCAGACCAGCTGAGAAAACTACAGGCTGAGAACCATCATCTGTCACAACTCATTCTGAAGATGAAAGTTGTTAATGCTTGGAGACAGAATGTGAAAACACACAACTTTGTGAAATCTGTGAGTCTCTCTTGAAAATGCACACGCGTGCGTTGTCTACCTGCATTAAGTTATGGTGCCTTATCTTTCTAGGTTAAATATTTCTTATAGGCTCCCCTTATGGACTTCATGTGTTGTAGAGATGTTTTTGTATTTTTGGTTTATCTTCCCTCTTCCGCCCGTTCCTTGTGCAGACAGCAGATTTACGTAAACAATCAGAGACAAGTAAGAAGGAGCACCTGGAGGTTCGCATGATGGCAGAGGAGGAGATGATCCTGCTGAGACAGCAACTCGTGGCCATACGTCGGGCCATGACCGCAGTCGATGTGGACTGTAATCAAGTCAGGAAAAAACTACAAAGGGAGGTAAATCGGTTCAGAAAAAATATATATTTTTTTTTTATCAATTAAATATCATTTACATGTAGGGGGAACCCTTCCATAAATTGCAACATGTAGGGCTACCCTTCCATACACTGCAACATGTAGGGCTACCCTTCCATACACTGAGACATGTAGGGCTATCCTTCCATACACTGAGACCTGTAGGGCTACCCTTCCATACACTGAGACATGTAGGGCTACCCTTTCATACACTGAGACATGTAGGGCTACCCTTTCATACACTGAGACATGTAGGGCTACCCTTCCATACACTGAGACATGAAGGCTTACCCTTTGTTACACTGCAACATGTAGGGCTACACTTCCATACACTGCAACATGCAAGGCTACACTTGCATACACTGCAACATGTAGGGCTACCCTTGCATACACCTCAACATGTAGGGCTACACTTCCATTACTGCAACATGCAAGGCTACACTTCCATACACTCCATACTTTGGACTCGTTTTAGGCATTTTTATTTCTTTATCTATAACAAAATGAACATGTGCTACAAAGTTACCCCAGTGTTAAACTAACACTTTTATTAATTACAACTATTTAGTGCAGGTTGCTTACTGTCTTCTGGAATAGATGACCTTTTTTGATATGGCTCAATGACACTCTCTCATGTTTCTACAATTTTAATAGTGAGATGAAGAGTTTCTGTCAAGTTCATTCAGTTTTAGGTTTCATTAGAAAAGGTTAAGAGTAGGGTTATTTATAACAATGTTTGATTCACCCTTTTGTGTGTGTGCGTACTCTCAAAAGCCTTTGAATAGGGCAGTTGATGGACTGGCAAAACAGTTGATTAGCTGGCCAAACAGTTGATGGGCTGGCCAAACAGTTGATGGGCTGGCCAAACAGTTGATGCTCTAAATTTATTTAATTTAACATAGAACTAAACTGAGATCTTCAAACACATACGTTTTGGCTTTCTAATGATTTGTTGTTTCCTGTTTTGCATTGTCTCTGCTACTATTCATGTATTTTCTTTTGTACCGGCAGATGAAAATGAGATCTGAGAGGGAACATGAAGAGGCTCAAAGAGAGCGAAGCAAGCAACAGCTGGAGAAGGCCAAACAAGAGAGTTTAATCAAGCTGGTAAGTAGATTGAAGCTCTAGACATTAATATGGAAAAGGTGTACCTCATATGTGGTTTATACACCAGAGGGTAAGGGAATACCCAGAAAATAGGTTTCTTTGCATTATATTACTAATATATCTTTTTTTTTATCCTTGGGCGTGGGCAGTTTAAAGGAAATATGTTTTGAAATCAACAGAGGAGGGTGCAGTGCTAAAAGAGGGTGCAGTGCTAAAAGAGGGTGCAGTGCTGCTAAAAAGTTTTAAAAAAAAAAAACCTGAGTTACAGGAACTAATAAAATGTCGGAGTTTGATTGTTCAGTGCAGCCCACATCAATAAATTCATAGGTCCAGCCAGCAATATTTTCTATAAAAGTAAAGGGAGAGCTTGGGTCATGTAAGTTGTTTACCAGTCCGGATATGGAAGACCTGATTTTCTTGTTTAAGGTTGATGAGCTGAAGGACAAAGATTCACGGCTGATGATGCTGGAGGATGACAAAGACCGCTCCAGTAAACTGACACAACTGGCCTATGAGAAGACCAAGAGGGAGAAGGAAATGATTAAGAAAAAACTCAACCATGAACGAACGTTAAAACTGGACGCCTTCAATAGAGTGGACAGTCTCCAGTCACAGGTAGGGAGATGGTGGTCACTCAGTTTTCAGTATAAAGAAATTGATTCCTTCCTTTAACTATTGCATAAAATCCACTGATTATTAAACATGGTAATTATTTCCAAACCTGAACATTGAATTTACATGATCTTTTTTGAACAATGCAAAAAAAAATTTGGTCTTTCATCATTTAGTGGGGAGGAGTTGAACATAGAACTCTTGGAAGAGTCAATTGATGGTGTGAATTGGAAAAGTGTTTTTTTTGCTACAGGAATTTAAAACATCAAATAATGAGAAACAAAAATCTGGGCAGAGTTCTTTACTGTCACATCAGTTCATGAGTCTAGTTGACATCATTTCATCTTCTTGTCTCCTCAGGTCTATGATTATGAAACATGTTTGCTGAACAGACCTCTGTCCTCGGTGACTCCATCAATGAGTAAACTATTTTATTAACAATATTTTACTTATAGGATCTTTGATATGTCTTCGTTTGATAAAGATTTCGCCATAAAAAAAGCAGGCAGGGGCATTGTGGGTATAATACTTGCCTGTAGGTCGATGACCTTTTTCCAATCTTCTTTTAAAGAAACATTTTTCTGAAATTTATTATTATGTTTCCTTAGAATTTAAGTACAAAGGGGTGTTATTTAAATTTGAAGGGAAAAATGTGGCAAGTGGGAGAAAGAGGGGGGTGGGAGTGTAATGAAACCAATTCATGCATCATAAGACAAACCGTTATAATCTGTTATTTTGATGGTCCATGACTAGTCAATAGAATGGTAGTCCTTGGATGAGGGGACTCAACTCTGTCTAGTCTTCATCTATGGAATAAAGGTACCTCTTTAACTTTGGAATTTTAATCAACAAAATTGTTTTTGTGTGATCAGTGATATAATAAAATTGTTAGCGACATCAGGGATTCAGATTAAAAAAAAAAAAAATTAATAATTCTAATACAGATAACACTTATCTCTTCATGTTTATATTACTTCCAGCGAAACAGCTGTCAAGGGCCACTTCAGCTGGTGTAACGAGACAGAGTCGTCCATCTACAAGTGGTTCCCACTGGCCCCCACCCGTCCCCTGGCCGGCTAACCGAAGCCTGACACCTCTGGGAGAAGTCCCCATGGACATGAACTTAATGATGAACAATGACAACAAGAAAATTCAGAGGCCAAAAACTGTAAGTGTCATTTATTTTTATTAATGTAAAATTAAATCAAATCCTAAGTGCAAAAAAAAAAAGAAAAAAAATGGAACAAAAAATTGAATCACATCTGCTACTCAAAAAAAAAAGTTAAAGCTATAAATATTTATTTAATACTTTGCTGCATAATTTATTTCCCATCTATTAAAATAGGTTGGAGGTCGGTTACGCAGCAGAATAGCTGAACAGCTTTTAAATGAATTGGAGCCAATACCACATCACACTATTGTACAGCTGGGAACATTTCAAGGGGAAGGTTCCAAGAGAGCAGACAGATTCTAAGTAAAATGCAGTTGTTTCCCTTACATCAACCAAGCGAGGAATATTCTCAATGAAAGGATTGATTGGAACCTTTGTTTTCTCCCCAGTATTTTTTTTTTTTTTTAAATACTAAATTGTGTCATTTAGATTCATGCTTGTGATAATGGAATTATGATCTTGATGTATCCTATGTCAGTGTAATATTTTAACTATTTTACTTTTGTTCATTATTGCAAATAATGTTTTAATCTACTTGTAATTAGGATTTATTAAAACAGAATTTATTTCTTTTAATTTGAGTAAAATATTTGTTTAGATGAAGAGTTGAATGCAGGAGAGGAACATTTTAGTTTGTTATTTTAAACCAACCAGTTACTGGGCCCTGTGTGGTCATGTTAAACCAACCAGTTACTGGGCCCTGTGTGGTCATGTTAAACCAACCAGTTACTGGGGCCCTGTGTGGTCATGTTAAACCAACCAGTTACTGGGCCCTGTGTGGTCATGTTAAACCAACCAGTTACTGGGCCCTGTGTGGTCATGTTAAACCAACCAGTTACTGGGCCCTGTGTGGTCATGTTAAACCAACCAGTTACTGGGCCCTGTGCGGTCATGTTAAACCAACCAGTTACTGGGCCCTGTGTGGTCATGTTAAACCAACCAGTTACTGGACCGTGGGCAGTCATGTTAAAACAACCAGTTACTGGGCCCAGGGCGATCATGTTAAACCAACCAGTTACTGGGCCCAGGGCGGTCATGTTAAACAAACCAGTTGCTGGACCCTGGGCAGTCATGTTAAACAAACCAGTACCTGCTAGTCATGTTCAGGTGGAGAAAGAAGTACAAATAAATCAGGAACCATCAATTTATTTCTTATATGCACACAAAAGCTTTAAAAAACAAAAAAAATAAGAACATGCAGTTGTGTTAAGAATTCTACAACCTCTGGTCCTGTTTCTGGAAGGTAGATAAGACAGTTAAGTACCCATTTATCATGCAGTCTGCTATATAACTTAAGCACTTAATCGATGATGGCTCATTGCTCCAATGTTTAATTGATGGTAAGTTATTGGGAGCAACATTATGTTTTGATGTTTATTTATAAATGACAATTATTGTAGGATTTTTTTTTTTTTAAGAAAAGTATTTACTGTAAACAGAGATGTCAAATTCGGCTTTTATTTGTTACAACATTTTGTGTTAATTGCACAGTTTAAATCAAATCGGTTATAAATGCATTGTCAAATGGTGGCTTTGTGATCACAACAGACTCATCTTGATCCAAAAGTGTTGGAAAATTATCGCCCCATCTCAAATCTACCATTTATTTCTAAAATCTTAGAAAAAATCGTTCTCCGCCAACTCCTGGATCACCTCACTCAGTTTGACTTGTTTGAATCATTCCAATCAGCATACAGGGTGCATCACTCTACTGAGACAGCCCTATTGCGCGTCGTAAACGACCTTCTGTCGTCTTGTGATGAGGGCAAGGTATCGATTTTGTCTTTACTCGATTTATCGGCAGCTTTCGATACGCTCGACCACGGCATATTGCTCCAGCGTCTGCAACAAACATTCGGTCTCACTGATACCGTCCTGTGTTGGTTCCGATCGTATCTGACTAATCGGGTGCAGTCAGTTATTTCAAACGGCTTGACTTCGAAGAAATCTAATATCGAATTCGGAGTACCCCAGGGCTCGGTCCTAGGCCCAGTGCTTTTCACGATGTACATTCAGCCACTGGGCGCAGAGATCAGGCAGTTTGACATGTTGTATCACATGTACGCGGACGATACACAACTTCATCAATCCGTGATCCCTTCTCAGTTCCCTCAGCTGCTCAGTATGACACAGAAGACAATGGAGTCGGTTAAGCACTGGATGACGATAAACAAGCTCAAATTAAATGATGATAAGACTGAGCTGCTCCCCATCGCGACCGCTCAGAAGCAAAAATCTGCAAATAACACTACATCCATTACTCTCTCAGGTGTGCGTATTGAGTTAGCTCAAACAGTGCGGTACCTGGGTGTCTACCTAGATGGAAGACTAACTTTTGAAAGTCATATTAACATGCTATGCAAGGCGATTTTTCTAGAGCTGCGCAGGATTAGTCACATCAGGCCCTTCCTAACAATTGATGCAACAAAGAGGCTGATGTCTGCATTTGTGCTATCACGCATGGACTATTGCAATGCTCTTATGGTGGGTCTTCCAGCTACGCTCCTGGATAAAATTCAAATAGCACAGAATAATGCGGCTCGCATTGTTCTCCGCAAACGCAAGTTTGACCATGCAAAAACACTTCTGAGAGAGCTGCACTGGCTGCCAGTGCGTGCTCGCATGGAGTACAAAATCGCAACTTTGTGCTACCGCTGCTTACATGACCTGGCGCCGTCCTATCTGAAAGAGCTGCTGACGCCTTATGTACCCACTAGAGAGCTCCGCTCATCCGATAGTGGCAAACTCTCGACACCACGTGTTTGCCTTGAGACTTACGGAAAGCGCACTTTCGCATTTGCTGGTCCACTAATTTGGAATGCCCTTCCTGTCGATCTCAGAAACAACCAGACACTGGAGTCCTTTAAAACCGATTTAAAGACACATCTATTTCGCAAACACCTTCTGGGATGATTGTCAACATTATTTTCCAGTTAATGCATAATGGCTGTGTTGCTTATGGTTGAAATGGCTAGAAAGACTTTGCCATTGTATGCTTGTACTTAGTTTTTGTCGTGTTGCGTTTGTTTTAAATGTGGTAAACTATAGATTTGTTGTTTTTTTTACTTTGTACCGCGCTTCGAGCCTTTGGGGATGAAGCGTGTTTTTGAAATGAACTTTAATAATATTATTATTATTATTCTTATTTGTAAAATGGTCTCTTTGTCATCACAAACAGACACATTCTCACCCTGTTGGACATCATAGACATTTAGACCAGTAATACACACACTTTTTTCCCTCAAGGCATACCCAGACCCTTCCAAGATTTTTGCATGACCCCACAATGGAAAAAAAAAACCAAACCAAACTGATTTACTCTTGTTTTGCATAACTTTTTAAATTTGTTTGGGTTTGTTTCATCTTGTATAGTGGTGACATGGCCAGTACATCTTTTATATCAAGTTTCATGACAGAAAATTAGTTTTTAATATTTAAGTGCTTACATCAGAACAGAAATATTAAGAATTTTTTTTTTTTAAAACCTCTTTTTTAAAAAAAAAAAAAAAAAAAGAAAACTGCATGTATCCAATCTAAAATTTTTTTTTTTTTTAAAACCTGTATGTAAACTGATTTAAAACAAAGAAGCATTCCTATTCAAACACACAATGAAAATATTCTTTTGATCCAAATGAGAACTCTGACCAGTAACATGGGTTATGACATTCATGTCTAAAGTTACCATGTTTATTCCAGTGATAAAAACAAACAAGCAAAGTATTATAATAAAATGAAGCAATATTTTTTTTAAAAGTATGTCTCATGCTTGGAAAGCTTGTGATCAAAGGGCTAGAGCGTGAAAAGGGCGTAGTTTACCAGTTGCCTGTGTCCTAAAGATTGAGGAATACATTGATCTATATGAAATAGATTTTGCATGGTGATTATGTTGCTAGATTTGTTTACTTGTGTCATACTTGTGTACTGCTCATCTATTTTAACCATCCAAAATAAAGAAAATGATAACAATATATTGATATTATATTGGAACGTTAATGTTATCTCAATGAACGCATTGTAAACTTTTTATCAGAACCTTTTAGATCTAAAAATATTTTTTGTTTTTATTTCTATTTTCTTATCATTCCGCAAGGCTAATGTAAACATAATTTGTTTAATTATACATATTAAAATGACTTATTTATACTTATTTATCAACTTTGGCGTTGTCATTGGAACAAATGTCACTGATACATCACCTGTAGTGGCCTTTCAAATGTGTCGTATCTAAGAAACAAATAGTATTGGAACCCAGACAGACCCCCCCAGCTAAGAGAGGCAATAGCAAAACTTAAAATTATTTCTCATTTTCTGAATTATTTCCCTTTTATTAACTCGAAATGGTTTGCGTTTATCATATATATATAGATGTAGCTATAGATATAGATATATATATATGTATATATATATATATATATATATATATATATAATATGTATAGATATAGATATAGATATATATTAAACTAATTTATAAGACATTCCTTTAAAGTTGAAATCATATGAATCTAGCTTTGTGATCATTGTGTACTCATGTGTACACGTCATAGATGAAGGCGAGTAGCTTTAAGATCGTTGTGTACTCATGTGTACTCGTCAGAGATGAAGGAGAGTAGCTTTGAGATCATTGTGTACTTATGTGTACACGTCAGAGATGCAAGAGAGTAGCTTTGAGATCATTGTGTACTCATTTGTACACGTCAGAGATGAAGAGGAACACCTGCCAGTGATTCTCAAACTCCAAGCTATTCTGTGGGCTTGAATTTTATAAAAGTAAAATAAAATAATGCGGGAGTAGGTGGGGAGTAAGGGTTGGGGGGGGGGCGGTGGATCAACAACAAAAGGTGAATGAAATAATATCCCAGATGATCCGTCTTGAAATTCTTAATTCAACAACACAGACTTCAGATCATTACAAGCCCCGCGGGGCCCGGGGGGGGGTGGGGGCGGGGGGGGGGGGGAGTTTGTTGTTTCAGCAGCTTTATACTGGAACTGGGAGGTTGTTACACTGGTCCACGATGGTCATTCAAGTCGGCTATATGTTTTTGATCAGCGTGCACGGCCAGCCTAATATTTGCAGACTTCAGGTTCTGGTGAAAGTGTGTCCGTGGAGGCCAGGCAGTGTTGTGCCTATAATCCTAAATGGTTCTTGCTGATCTCTATTATCGCATTAACGAACGAGGTTTATGTCAAGAAATTAATTCCACAAAAATAATTCAACTTTTTAAGAGAAAAAAAAAACGTGACTATTCTGCCACTGATAGCCTGTTTTTGTCGTTGTTTGAAGCCTAATCTAGACTATTCACTTCAAATAAAACAGTGTAACAACCAAATTTCTATTTCAGTGAAAATAAAATGCTTGGGGAAATTGTCTACACACGGCAGCCATGTTGCTAAGAGCACTACTTTATCACTGGCTCGGTTGGCACATCCGATGTAAGGGTCGATGCTGCCACGGACCGGGTCGAGTAATGAATGGCAGGATGTATCAACGACATGGCCATGGTTCGTCCGTCAATGACCAGGCGTGTACTGCCAATAACTGGGTTGGCAGTACACAACGATGACAGGGTTGTACGGACAATGACAAGGCTGGTACAGTCCATGGCAAGGTTGGTTTTTCAATGACTGGGTTTACACAAAAACCATCAAAGACATTGGTGGTACAATGAATGTCGGGATTTTTACCATCAGTGGAGTGGTTAGTAAGTTATTAGGGCTGGCTGTACATTCAATGACAGGCGGGCTGTACATTCAATGACAGGCGGGCTGGACATTCAATGACTGAGATGGTACAGCCAATTTCAAGAGAGAAAATTAAAGACCTACAAAATCGCCTACGCCACAGTGACGTACATACCACATACTTTAGATATCCGACGGAGGACACTACACCATGTGTTTAAATTGTCGGACCGAGAGCCTCGACGGCTGTAGGGTCAGCGGGTCGGACCAGAGAAAAAAGAGTTGTGTGTGGATTTCCCTCAGAAGACCGATGTCGTGTGGAAACTCTATTGAGCTGGAACAAATCACTCCAGATAACCATCTCAGGGTATGTGAAGGATCTTTGTTGACAATCTTACCCCGGTCACATGATACACCGGCTCTATCGCGTCACAGGTCATTAGGTATTTTGACGCCCGCTCTAGCACTGGGGCCAACAACGGGTGGATATTGCGATCTGCCCCCCCCCCCCGGGCCCACGTGGAGAGCTCAGCATGGGGCCAACAACGGGTGGATATTGCGATCTGCCCCCCCCCCCGGGCCCACGTGGAGAGCTCAGCATGGGGACGGATAAAGGCAACAATACAGAATAAGTACTCGTCTATTTCGTCTGTGAATGGATCATCTTGACATACTCTTGGCGATCGAGATTTCATTTCTATTCGCGAGACTGTACACCC